GCTACTGTGACACCACAATTTTCCAGTTTGGGATCAATAAAGTACATCTATCCATCCATCCCTCCCTCTATTGGCTACAGTCCATTTTATGTTAGTTTTTTATTCATATTTAATGTTTTTTCTCTCTCCTTCCAGTGTAAGTCCTGTGTTCCTGTGGTGCTATAGTGAATAGAAGTATAATTAGTCGTATCTTGGTTTATAATCCATGTGTCTGTGGGGAACGATTGGCCAAGTTGGACATAATGAAGTCATTGGCATCCTCTAAGAAAAAAAGATTCATAAAAAGCACCAAAATAAACAATAAAAGAAAGGTCAAGTCATGGCAATGACAATAAATACGAGCGGCCGTGTAACACCATGACCCACGGTAATGCCCTGCAACCCTCACACGTTGTCCTTGTGCCTGTAGCAAAAGCTGACACTGCACATTCTCATATGGCATTTGGGTTTATCATAAAAGTAAAACAAGGTGCTGTTTAGCATAACACTGAGACACTTGTATGAATAAAAAATGAGAGCAAATGACTTGTTCCTTTCTTTCTTTGCTCCCCCTGTGAGCTCATTAGAACACTATCTATTCAGGGATCAGGCCCAGAGAGACAAGTAGGTTTGCCAATAACTACATTTCCCCGCCTCTGGAGCAAAAAATAAATAAAAAGAAGTCACATCTGTATAATCACAAAGATGTCGCAGCGTGCTTTTGTGATTCAAAGTTGGGAGTTCGCAAAAGTTGTTTGTGTGCGGCGAGCCTTTTGAACACATTTCAGCTTTCTTGAGTGCTCAAAACAATTTCTTTTAGTGTGTTTCTATTTGTTGTTTTTCTTTCTTTCCAATAGAAAATAAAACATTTATAAAAAGGTGTTTTATGAAAAAGTTGGACTTTTTTCCTATATTTCAGACAAAGCCAAACCCCATCCATACATACCCTCATCATCTAGAAAATGTCCATTGGCCTCCATCTCTCTTCTTTAGGTTTCCTCGACTCTGGTGGGTGGGGTAAAGCTGATGACGATGACGCCGACGTGGAGGGAGTCGAGGAGGAAGAGCGATGGTGATGGTGGGAGGGATGGACTCTCTTCAGGCTCATTTCGTTGCGCACGTCGTTGATGGTCTTCTTGAGCAGCTTGAGGCGCTTGCTGCGGGACGGGCTGGACTTCATGGCACAGGTCAGATCAAACTTCTCCAGGAGATGCTGCAGCTGCTTGTCCGGAGAAAGATGCTCCCGATTGGCTGGCACTAGTAGGCGGTCCACTAGGGAGTTTGAACAACCAGAAGGAGAATGAACCACATATTTGTCTTAACACGTTTTGATAAACATAATGTTGGGACTCTAATGACGCCAACATATCACAGACTGCCCTTACCGTCCTCCCAAGAAAACGATGGCGTCACTTTCATTTCAGGCGCTTCCGACAGATGCATGCCGCTCTCCGAATCAAAGCCGATTTTCTCCACATCTTTTCTGGCTTTTCGAAGCAGAGACCCGCCCTGGTCTCGGAGGCGGACGGCAGCCCGGTAAAAGTACGTGTCTTTTGAGTTATACTTCATACAATTATCAACGATGAGGTTGAAGTCGCTCTCAAACTGCTCCAAGTTGTTGTAGCCCTGTGCGTCGATGCGCTGCCGCATGCTGGAGAAGTCCATCGGGTGCTTGATGTGGTCGAGGTAGTCGGGCACCTAATGGAATTGTTTCAAAAGTAATTGAACCTTAAACTTAAATATGAAGTTCATGTGATTACTGCTTACCAAACATTCTTGTTAATGAATTTAATTTGAATACAGCGTTTACAGTAATTCATACGAGCACGACCTGGAGAATCTGACTGTATAGTAAAGACAGTAAAGACCTTCCCTGCCAGTCATGTGGAGGATACACTGCAATGAGTGCCATCTGAGAGTGGAGTGTAAGTGGGCTGTGAAACACTCAAACAGTGAGTTGGGAGAAAACGCCTCAGACCCAGACAGCATGAACACCTTTGAACTTCATGATACCGATGGGACTCCAGAGACATAAGGTACGCCCAACGTGGGGCTCGAACCCACGACCCTGAGATTAAGAGTCTCATGCTCTACCGACTGAGCTAGCCGGGCTTGAGTGAAGGAGCAACCTCAGCCCTCCTGAGACATCAGCCGGTGAACCTTAAGCCTTAAGTTACACATTCTTTTACCAGGAAGTCGCATTACTCAACAGGGTGTACACTGGGGAGGAGCGGGTGATTTATAACCTGAGTCACTCTGATCAGATACTGTGACACGGAGCAAGCAGCTGTCTGCTGTCTGTAGTCTTTGTGCTGAGGCTTTTAACAGATATGTGGGGATACAAGGGAAAGCAATGGCTGTCATTAGTCCCCCTTTGTTGAGTTGTTCTAATCAAAGGAAACTAATATAAATGACTTGTCATGTGTCTCGCCCGGATTCCAAAACACAGTTTGCCTTTGCAAAAACAGCACTTTTAATTATTATTCAATCATTTCAACATTATGAGGGAATTTTCTCACAATCGGGCAGAAAAAAAATGCCGTTAGTGGCCTTGTATCCTGACAACAGCTCAACTGCAAAGAGCTGTGTCCAAAAACAAAAACCAGCAAGTCCAGTTTGAGGGCTTAACAGGATTTATGGACTTCAATCTAAAGACCTTTTATTTGTTTAAAGGGTTGTTTACAGGGCAAAGGCCAGGATGTTAGTGCGGCATCAAAAGTGCAGCGATAATAACAACAGTACTTCTTCAGTGTGTGTGTGTGTGTGTGTACTGGAGTTTACCTCGCTGACATCGACCGGCTGGGTGAAGATCTTGGCCTGGTCTTTCGACTGGAGCTGGTCCAAGAGGGCCCGGAGCAAAATACTGAAAGGAGTCAGCTGCATCTCCAGGAGGGTTTCCTGCTGTTTGATCTACAGTACGAACCAGGGGGGGGTAAGGATGAGAACCTCATACCAAGCATAACCAAGCATTATACTTCAAGCAAAGCTGACATGGAATGGTTTCAGTCATGTTTGGATTTTGCTGTTGGAACATTAAGCTTTGATTATTTGTTACTTCTTGTCAGTAACGATTGTCAACAAGTCTTTGTGAGTCTCATGTTTTCCCTTTAGAGGTGCACAATGATAAGAGTTTAATAGAAGTTTGGCCGTCAGTCACACATGAAAACATTTCCTACCAACTTGCTTTTTAAAGTTTGTAGCTACTTCACTGTAAATTGTAAATGGACTTGAGCTTGTCTCACGCTTTTCTACTCTACTGACTCCTGAAAAAGCTTTTACACCGCAGGACACACCGACCCATTCACACACCGATGGCAGCGGCTGCTATGAAAAGTGTGCATCAGTTTTATCTCGTCCCCTTCGTCCACATTCACACGCCCCTGAAGAAGCAGCGGGAGCAATTTGGGGTTAAGCGTTTTGAAGTGTAATGTTGGAGCCGTCAGGGCAGATCAGCACTTTGTGTGTGTGTGTATGTGGAGCTCCCACTGCCGTGCCTCTCGCACTTCCACCAGATGCAATGGGAAATTACACACTGCGACACCAATGGCACATTGTTGTAGATGCAATGTGTAAGCAGAAAGGCGTAATGATGATGAAACTTCATTATGGTGCTGTTGCAGAATCGCAATCTGTTAGCAGCTAATGAGCTACTTTAAGTGTGAACCGGCATTTGATTTAACAGATGTACCTCTGTTTTCACCAAGTAAACACATGTTTAAGAATGTATACTGAAGTGTCAGTTTTAAAGTCATTTTGAAAAGGTTTAGAGCCATTCAGGATGTTTATACACTGTGACTGTTCAGTAATGCAGATTAAAAAACAAAAGTCTATGAATCGACTGACTGACTGAAAATACTCCTACCTCCTCCCTCTTTAGCTTCTCCCTCTTGCGGATCAGCTCCAGCAGCAGACGGGCTCTCTCCAGGTCGTGTCTGAGACGATGCCATTCCTTCAACTGGTCCTTCAGTGCCCTGCTCTCCTCCTCGTTCTGCCTCTGGAAAAGACATGGAAGTACAATATTACAAAACAACCAAATGTGAACTCAGCTAGCTTCACAATACACTGCCATGTATACTTAGCATTGTCAAACTTTTTGTTCAAGCAGGATTTCATTGTAGGTAAAGCACTAAATATAAATCGCTTTAAAAAATATATTTCAATCCTACTGGCTGTGTGACAAAACAATACCACAACATTTCTAATATCTACTGGTATTTTGGTAAGAGGTAAAATGAAGACTAAATGTCTCCTGCGTTGGACTGACAGACAAACAAACCGCTTGCGCATTCTTCTGAGACTGCAGGCTTGTCTGGAGGCGCCTGATGAGGGGAAGCCCATTCCTGGACTGCCTCTTAAGCGTCCAGTAATTCAGGACCAGCTCCACAAAGGCTTTCTTCTTCTGAACTGACACCTGGTTCAGAATGGTTTGTAACCTGAAAGAGCCAGGGGGGGGGAAAGAACGGGTCAGACAGATACAGTCAGGAGAGAAACCAACAGCAAGCTGAATATAGCGTAAGGAAAACAGACGAAGGAAACAGCCACTTGTACCAAATCACCAATTACTCATCATGCACAATTGCCACCCCTCTTAACCAAAAACTACACCACTCTTAAATAATACAACTCCTACCTGTGAGCAGGAAATGTAGGCACACTAACATGGCCTGCATTTTCACTTTCAGGCTCAGGCTCAGGCTCAGGCTTCTTACTCTTACTCTTCTTCTTTCCTTTTGACTGCCCTTTACCAACACCTCCACCTTTTTTACATAGTCCATTTTTGGGTTTGGCATCATCATAGATTGTAAGTGGTCTCCTTATACACCCGTTAGGCGTGTGAGCGCCACAGTAGGCTGTCTTTTTCACAGAGAACGTAGGATCTCCTGAGTCAGTCACTTCTTTGATCGGCTCCATCTTCATAAAGAGGCCGGCCTTTTGGGCACAGCTGACGTGGAAGGCCGTATAACAGTTTGCTTTGTGACACTGGATGCAAGCCCCAACGCCTTTCTCCTTACAGAGGTAGCAGGTGAGCTTCCAGCGAGCTGGAGGAATGTGGCTGACGCCGTCGATGGGCTCGATGAAGGTGGTGTTTGAAAAGCCAACCTCAGGCACCCAGAGGGCACACACTACATGGCCCCAACGGTCATCATCTGTCTTTTTTACCGCTCCGCCCTGATTGGGACAAAGTATGCAGTCGGCAGGCTGGTTTGGTGACTGGAGACAGTGTCTGCAGAGCCACTGGCCCTCAGGAATGTAGGGTACACCATAGCATTCCTGGTGCACAGCCAAATTGCACATGTCACAAAATAGGATAGCGTTGCTGTTGTGACACTCTCCATCCATGCAGATGCAGCAGACCGCGTCCTCGTCAACAGGAACATGACTTTCACTGCATTGATCCAGACTCTCCAGGTATAACTCTTTCTCAAAGCGGTCGATAAGAAACTCAAAAACATTATAAGAGACCTGACTGACTCCTTCGCTTTTTCGTTTCTCATTGACCAAATCCAGCCAGGCGTAGTCTTCCTCATCCATGTCATACTCCGTTTCCTCGTCCAGCTCTTCCTCCGTCTTTTCTATGTATTTATAAAACACAGCTGGACGCTTAGGAACCGCCGGGCGATTATATTCCACCGTACGAAATTTAGGCTCTGGAAGCTTTGGACCGGCATTAACGCCAGTATTTTGTCCTACACCCTCTCCAGGACTGGTGATCCCGAGCGCTGCATTTCTCTTCTCCTGGTTGTTTTTTAGCCTGACCGACCGCAGGAGAACTTGCTGCTGCGGTTTCTCGGCGTTCTCCTTATTGCTGGTGCACTCCATCATCTCCTGCACCGTGGGGTCGTCGTCAGAGATCACGTCCAGCTTATCGTAAATGCTGACCCGGTGGAGGCGCCCGTCGATGTCGAACTCCACCATGCGCTGCGCCTGCGCGTAAGTCAAGATCTGCTTGTTGGGGGAAGGCTTGATGGGAGACGGCGGCCTCTGTGGCACCGCAGCCCGGTGCTGCCGAGCTTTCTTCTTCATGCTGCCGCTCCGTGTTGCTGTGGAGACACGGGTTGAGTCAACTTGAATCATGTTCAGAGAAGGCGTTCACATTTAATCAAGGGATAAAGAGATAACACGCTGACACTCTGCTTTTTAAGGTAACTCCAACTTTTAAATAGGCAAAATATCTAAATGGCAATGCAATGTAAATGTTTAAAAGTTAAGTTCCTATTAACAGCAGGAAACAGTGTTCTTAATGAAGTGGTAGCAACAACATCAATCCATCACTAGTTGCTATGACAATGATTCTATTGGGAGAAATAAAGTATTGCTTTTTTCAATTCCAATACACCAATACAGTGAAAGGGTTAAATATGGGGGTAACTCTCATTTATAAAAGTGCTCCAAACTGGGTGACAGTCATGTTTGAGTGTCTCTGTTATGTACAGTGGTAGCCAGCTGCTGTACGTTACAGTTTTGCTAATGAGCTGGGGCATTTAAACGCGGTGGGAGGCGGCCACTTAGGGCAATAACAACATGACTGCGCAGGAGTTCGCACTTGCCCATTTGGTCCAGAGCTGCAATTGCTTTTTTTAAACTCACAACTCCCAGTCAAAGTGGCCAAGTTGCTAACAATAACATTAGCCAGCCAGCCAAGCCGAGCTCGCTAACTAGCATTAGGAGCTAATCGCCCCCATCACGGAGCAAATGGCGTCAAACCAGACAAAAAAGCTCTTCGAAATATCTGTTAATTCCCCCTCCAATGTGCAAGAATGACTTCACGCTTTGCGCTTGCACTGCATGCGCCCCTCGTCGTCCGGTAACAAAGCAAAGAAAAAGCAAAATGAAACCAGAGCACGTACCTCGGTTGGAACAGTTTCGCTAGTTGAAGAAGACGGTAGCAAGGCAGCCTTACAAAGCAATGGCGATATGGCCTGCTAAGTGGCTCTATATCCGTACACACTGTTCTCATCCGACGGGCGGGTAGTGTGGAGAGAAAGAGAGAAAGAGGCCTGTTTTTGGTGCCTGGGAAGTTTCGGTTTTCAAATCTACAGAGAACACACAGTCATCTGCTTTGTGGACCATTCATAAGTTAGAGTCACTCGCTAGCCAAAGTCGACCAGGAGGCAAATAGCACAGTAACAGCAGCAGCACTACCGACTGCTCATCCCCCAACACAACAATGCGTTTCTCCAGACAACTCCCACCCGTACGCGCTGCACTCCTCTACGTGTGACGCTGGAGGTCATGTCGGCGGTGAGACGTACATTTCACACAAAAGCCCATCTGTCACACACACAATCAATGCATTGCCCTTTGTCATTACTCTCATGCTATACGCAAACAAAGGTCCAAACAGAGCGCATATCCGGGCACCAGCGGTTTCTGAGTTAAACTGAAACCCATGTCTGCATCAGCTTCCTTGATCAGTCATTTACGGTATGTCAAGCTTTCATGGTGTCTGGGTTAGAGATCAAGCATTTCTCCTCCAGTCACAGATGACCAACAGTACACAAGGTTGTTTTCTTGACGTTAGGAAAAACTCAGTCTTTTATTTTTTATTTATTTTTTTTATTATTATTAGGTGCAATAAAGTGATAAACTGGTGATATACAAATGAGGCACAAAAAAACAATAAATATTTAGGAGAAACTCAGTCTTTTATTTTTTATTTTATTTTATTTATTTATTATTATTATTTTATTATTAGGTGCAATAAAGTGATAAACTGGTGATATACAAATGAGGCACACAAAAAACAATAAATAATAAAATAAAACAAATAAATACAGCAAAATACTAAGACATAGAATAGAATAGATACACATCATACTACGAACAGAAAAAACTACAAAACTACATGAAATATCTAAGAAAGGATACAAACAGTGAAAGACGCGATGGAGAGAAAGGGAGGGAGAGAAGGTGCTTAGTAAAGGGGACTTTTAAAGTTTTAAACTCAGTCTTTTAAAGAATCAATAACGTGATAACGTGCAAGGATGGTAACGCCAAATTTGACTCCAATCATCCTAGACCATGAACGCATCACTCGGTCGAAAACAATATTTAATTGTGCAGTCATAATTATTTATTGTTAAAGGCTGTTTGTTTTTATCCGTCTAAATGTACTGTCGCTTTCTTGTTTTGTTAATTCAAACAACGTAATTTGAGTGCAGGGTGATATCTGAACTGTCCAATAACAACAAACATGTACGTGAACCATTATTATTATTATTGTAATTATTATAATAATTATTATAACTATAGTTTAAAGTCACCCACATAGATAAAGAACTCCATATCTGAAGTCACTTTTGGTTTTAAAATTATTTTCGAATATATTGAATTTAGAAATAAAACGTCCCCAATCAGCATGAATAGAAACTTTTAATGAGTGGAAAAAAATCGTCAAATAGTAAATACGGGTTGATGTGTTTTTAAATGCGGTGCCATTACCATGTGCTGTGTAAATAGGTTATTACAAGCATTACCCATAGACAACCCTACCCATTGCCCTACAGAAGACCCTGCTGCGACCGGTGACATCATGAAAACATGTTCCTTCCGTCCGACGCTGTGTGGAGCTACTTCGGCCGAACGTGAACTGCTAGCTAACCAGGAGACAAAAGCAACAAAGTGAACCCCCCTCTGGATCAATCAAATGTGTCATTTTTTAACTGTTTAGGAGCCGAAACCCCGGTGATTACACGGTCACACTTCACAGTGAGTATCTTGAGCGTGTGTTTACGTCTGAAAATGATTTAATGTGAGCAGGACGTCGTGGTGAGTTGCCGGTCTGATTCGGATCCCGTGTGGTTCGTGTGTTTGCCACGGCTGGGTTCTGCCTCGCCAGGTTAGCTCGTATGTCCTGTGTGTGGCCTAGCTGGCAGCTAACCAGCTAGCAGTTGGTGGTGAGGTCCGAAATTCACCAAAAGCCTCTCTCGCTCAATTACAATGTAGGGGGGCTGCAGTTGTAGAACTTAAATTGTCTGGAACATCTGTGCTAAAAAAAAAAAAAAAGCCATGTGACAATGTACCCTGAATGACGTTTTTTGTGTTTATACCCTTGCGGCTAACCCAGTTAGCACAAGGATAGCCACCGTGGTGTTTACTGATGGTGTCGCGTCACTGCCAGTAGTATGTTGTTATTATTATAACATTAAATATGTATTGTTACGATTGCGCATATTAGTTTCTTTCGTTGTTTTCTCTTGTAGGACATCTACAAGTTGGTATGCTGTGTGAAGATAAAAGCTAGACAGTCCGCTTTGGCAATTTTGTGCTGTCCTTTGCTTCCTGACTA